CAATTCAAATAAAGAACCATCAATTGGTCTTCCTGATTAAGACGTCCATATATGGTGATGCACATTTCCAAAATCAATAAAGCCCGCGAACTTCTTGACACAGAGTTCGAGTAACGTATGCTTTTCTTTTCTCCTCTTCGACCACGATTCTTTTGCGCGAAAGCCATAKATTGATATGACATCATATTAAAGTAATATATGACTTCATATTGACAATTTTGTATGTAAGGATAACCACAATGATCCTGGTTACTCCCCTGATATATCTGATATTGAAGGTGTGAAGTTATGTAAGTGWGCGAACAAAATAATTAGACAATTGTTGAATACAGACCCATTTACATGACAGTAAAATACCAAAAGCTTTGAAGAACCGCAATGTAATGTCCACAACGCAATGTTTTGAAGATAAAAATATATTRAAATATTGTTTATATTTTCTTTTACTTCTTTGTTTTATTCTSGTTAATCATTCATTCATTCACTGCTTATTAATKTGTTTACAGTATGGATTTTGATGTCTGGCACCAYTTTGCTCTCAGTGTTAATATCATTACTGGTATTCGGCATTTCGTCATGGATGGGATATATTTTKCAACTTGGAACAGCAGCAYACATACCTCAGTCACAAACAAGATGAAGCTTACTTTGGGAGCTAYMAMAAATTTCTATGGGTACATTAAGAGAATCTTGGTCATTAAAAAAGCGTTGGATATCAATGAGATTCAAACAATTACATGTAAGTATTCACTGAAAAAAGATTTATTGGTTTACAGATAACGGTTCACAAGCTATTGCATGGAAACCTACTGAAATATAATTAGTTTACATTGTCACTAGAAAACTTCCTTTCTCCGTCTCCAGTAAATCGYCGGTCATGGCGATTCCTGCTATGATGTATTACTATATTTGACTTGAGTTTTTAAATTAAAAAAATATGATTGATTCATCTTCTCATGATTCCTTAGTTTGGAATGAGCAAGGTCCGTGGATTGGTCTGAACGATCAAGAAAACACCGGTCAATTGAGCTGGTCTGACGGTACTCCTGTTGGTCAGTACATGCCTTTCCTAAGAGACGTGCCCAAACCAACACAGTGTGCTGCTGTTAATAAAAATGGGACATGGCTTGATAAATGGTGCAGCATGAAAAATCCTTTTATTTGTGAGAAGCGGTTAAACAATTGAATATTTTTCTTCTGATCTTTTGATAACGGACACTTTCGATTTGACATAATTTAATGGTTTTAAAAAATTATTCCTTCGTGTTTTAAAATGAAACAAATCAAACTATAACATGCCATCTTTCCTTTTTTATCTTCTCAACACTCTTTTCTTCTTGTTTTTATACATCTCTTTATATTCAACATTGTAATGTATTCAAGTAATTCACAATAAAGGTTTGTTTGACCATTACTTCAGTTCATTCGAAAATATATCCCCAAGGTGTATAGACAGCGGAGACATAATACAAAGGCCAGGACACACTGCTAACTAATCGACATCATCGTATTCCCCTTAATATAGAGAATTGTCTCCTAGGGGTGCGTTCATTATGAATCGCTTAAAGATCTCTCAGTCCATCATCTGGCGTCTTATCTGCTGCGCGTCCATGCCAAACAGTCATTCTAGTCTTGTCCACTTTGGGGACCGCTCATCAAATAGCAACTGCTTTCTGATGTCTGCATTGTCCATCCTGCAGATGCGTGAAATGTATTTCAATTGATGAGAAATACAGACGGATTTGATTGGTCTAGTCCCAGTTATTATTATTATCTTGCAGGTCCGTGTTCNACTATAACATGCCATCTTTCCTTTTTTATCTTCTCAACACTCTTTTCTTCTCGTTTTTATACATCTCTTTATATTCAACATTGTAATGTATTCAAGTAATGCACAATAAAGGTTTGTTTGACCATTAGTTCAGTTCATTCGAAAATATATCCCCAAGGTGTATAGACAGCGGAGACATAATACAAAGGCCAGGACACACTGCTAACTAATCGACATCATCGTATTCCCCTTAATATAGAGAATTGTCTCCTAGGGGTGCGTTCATTATGAATCGCTTAAAGATCTCTCAGTCCATCATCTGGCGTCTTATCTGCTGCGCGTCCATGCCAAACAGTCATTCTAGTCTTGTCCACTTTGGGGACCGCTCATCAAATAGCAACTGCTTTCTRATGTCTGCATTGTCCATCCTGCAGATGCGTGAAATGTATTTCAATTGATGAGAAATACAGACGGATTTGATTGGTCTAGTCCCAGTTATTATTATTATCTTGCAGGTCCGTGTTCRAGTATTTGGACTTCAACTCTTGTTTCTCGTCATCGTTCTTGATTCCCACATTTTCACTTTGTCGCTTTTATTCACCCTTTACCATTTTTCGTAAGAATCCATTCTAGGCAACCTCAATCTTCGCTAATGCTTTTGCAGTCAGCTCCCAATTTTGGACACTGTATAGGAGTCGGGATCTCACGCATGCAGCAAGGAAGTTAACTCGAGTAGACAGGAGTATACGATGGTCTGTCAACACATCGCAGTCTCTGTGGAAACTGCATAGGTACATAAGTGCTATGAACACTTTTGCGAAGGAAAGGCTATATGCAATAGGTCAGCCGGCTAGGCAGACTGGGCAACACGACACTCACTTTTCTTTTGTGAGTGTGGCGTCGTGGCACCAGACATCATAACCCCAAATACAATCTTTACARATCGTATTTATCAATGCGAAATATAATACGTCATAATCGTTTCTAAAAGTCATTATGCCATGTTTAGTCAGTGTTCTTTGTTGTTTTTTATTTGTCTCTATCTCTCATATTCCTTTGGTTATTGCATATTAAAGTGCAAATTGCTTTCTACAGATATTACCATCAAGTTCGAGCGCTTGACATAGATATTAGCCYCGCACTATATGTTTCCCTCGATCAGCTTACGTTAGACTTTTTCTAATGACCTCGGATAATAGAGTCAATTTCGTATGAGTGGGATACGGACGGTACTGTACTGTGACCAAATTCTAGTGTCTCGTTGCTTCACA